ATGAGTTTAGTCACACCAAGAAGCTGAGTATCATATAATAAACCAAACATAACCGTGTATTTTTTTTCAGTGAATGTGACAGTTGCGACAAGACTTGACATGGGAGGACCGAAGGGTGTCACGCTTGATGTGTACGATGTTGAGACTATAACACCAGGGCCGGGGCTGGGCCAGTACAAGGGGTCGTACACATTCAACCGAGACGGTTGCATCCCTTTTTCACAAATTCTCATGACAGGTATGGAAAAGGCTAGTGCCATTGCACATTGTTACTAAGTTATATAAAAGTGAAAGATCGCTGTAAAATATTTTTTGTGAATTTCTTGCTAAGTCTATATGAACTAGAAAGGCCAATATTTGCTTTGGAGCAAATACAGCGATGGGTTCACCACATTTTACCACATGGCAGGGAAAGAATGAGAAACACAAGGGAAAACAATGATTTGATATAACTATAATATGAAGTAACATACAACTAAAACAACAGTTGGATAGCTATTCCCTACTTTATTGGTTAGGATTTTTAATTGCATAATGCAAACTGTTGATTTTCAAAATAAAAAAAAAAACGTTCATGCCCCGCATTCCAATGCTGGAGCAGAAAAGCTTGAAATACCTACCAAAACACTTGAATAAAGACATACTGTCAGTATGGAAATGCTCTGTGCAGGTGTTAATCAAGTTAAATCCCAACAGCCAATCAGCAAGAAATGCTCTGTGCAGGTGTTAATCAAGTTAAATCCCAACAGCCAATCAGCAAGCAGTATAGAGGAAAGCTGCATGCCTATTGGTTGATGCCCTGCATTCCATTGTGATGACTCATGCCCAGACGTGGTAAACACGGCACACTAACACAGTAATACATTTGCTATAACACAGCCAAAAAACTCAAATAAAACCATTCTAAAAGCCTGTATCACAAAAATTTAAAAAACACGTAGGGGTATTTGCCCACTGTACCTCCATACCAAATTTCAGGACCTTAGGCCCTAAAATGAAGAAGCTGAATCCATTTAAAAAGTGGCAGGAGAAGAAGAAGAAGAAGAAGGAGAAGAAACATCAGAAAAAGCAATATGGGTTCACCACCACTTCGTGGTGTGGTGAACCCATAATTATGTATTTCCCCCATGCTTCCATGTTTGAGGCAACAGGCTTCTACATGTATATAGTTACGATGAAGCAGGAAATTACCATACAACAGCAAATGAGATAACCTTTTCTGAGATCTTTTAGGGAAATTTGAGCTTAGCGTCCCTGACATGCCTAGCATGTTGAAACACTTGTATCTACTGAGAAACACAACCAAACACACAGACATAACGGAAACATCCATACACAGAGCTTGTGAGGCAACAAGCCTTAGGGTTTACTGAAAATACTGGGCTGTCTACGTATACCTGACATGTACTTGAAACCATTTGTCTCTA